GGGGGGGGGGGCGGCTGATGCCCCGGGGGCTCACTGGCCCCTCCGCCCCTCAGCTGCCAGATCTGTTGATGTGGGCACTGGTCGGCGCTGTCCCTGCCCTTGGCAGTGAGGCAGAGCTGCCCACCATCCGGGGGCCCGGTCAGGCCTCCTGTGCCAGGAAGGACTGCAGCAGTGGCCTTTTATGGAGCCTGGCGGTCACTTGGCTGCACGCTGTGCCGAGTGTGCCGACTCTTCAACCGAGATGATCCTGGGAGGCGGGGAGCCCGGCCCCCAGGGCTTTGGACTGGAGCCCCACAGTGTGGGCAGCCCAGCCCTGGGGGGTGCAAACCCTCCATCCTGAGGTCCCAGGGTGGGGGGCTCTATAGGGCTTTTCCTTCAAACCCCACGTCGATCCCAGTATGCCCGACAGCTAAGAGTGGATCTGCACTGGAGGGGCCAGCCCCCCACTTTGCCTCCCCAACACTGTTCTGCATCTCAGCTCCTCCCGGGCACCCCAGGACCTCGCATGGGGCAGTTTGACCGTCCCTGTGGTCAGAAGGCGAGGGGTCCGTGTCCTGCTCTGCCACAACGCACTGTGAGAGCTTGGCCACCACCCAGGCACCCTCCTGCCTCCTGCCCTCCCCCTGACCCAGCCCCAACCAAGGTGTGCTGGGGGGCGATGCCCAGGCATCACTGCATCACAGGCCCGTGACCTGCCCTCTCTGGAGCGCCACGCCAAACAGCCCCGTTCTCTCCCCAGGGCAGAGTGGCTTGGGAAAGTCCACCTTGATCAACACCCTCTTCAAATCCAAGATCAGCCGGAAGTCAGTGCAGCCCGCCTCGGAGGAGCGCATCCCTAAGACCATTGAGATCAAGTCCATCACACACGGTGAGTGCCGGGCGGGGGCTGGGGCAGGGATGCCAAGTCGGGTACCTCAGGTCCCCTGAGCTGGTGACTCTCGGCAACACCTCTGGGCACGTTGAGACTCAGGGTGAAGGGTGAGGGGTCGGGGCTGCTCTCCGGGACCCCTGCAGGCCCTGGTCAGAGCCCCCTGGAGATAGCTGAGTCCTCCACCAAAAATCATGGGCAGGGCATGCCCAGGATAAGTGTCATCAGCTCTGCTGGACTTCACTGCCGCAGGCTGTCATCTCCCTGGCATCACCCTGCGGGCGCCCCAAGTGGGCTTCTTTGGGGCAGGGTGGTCAGGGAGCCTGGCTGGGGTGTCCGTACGGGTCCTGGGTCTCCCCCTGAGCTCGGTGGGGCTGGGATTCTGTGCAGATATCGAGGAGAAGGGCGTCCGCATGAAGCTGACGGTCATCGACACGCCGGGGTTCGGGGACCACATCAACAATGAGAACTGGTGAGGGGCTCCGGGGGCCGCTTCCCCGGGGTGGAAGAGCCCTAACGGGGCTGCTGGGAATCTTGCCCCTCCCCCCGACCCCTGAGGTCAAAGGTCAGCATGGGAGGCTAGTGCGGGTCTCTGCTCTGCTCAGAGCGTCAGACACCTCCACGCGTGTACGGGCGTTGGGCCGGGACTTGGGGAATTACGGACCTGCGGGCGGGGCCCCCCCAGCTTGGGCGGCGGGGGTCCCGCGTGCAGGCTGACTGGGGCCTCTCGGTGCAGCTGGCAGCCCATCATGAAGTTCATCAACGACCAGTACGAGAAGTACCTACAAGAGGAGGTCAGCGTCAACCGGAAGAAGCGCATCCCGGACACGCGCGTCCACTGCTGCCTGTATTTCATCCCCGCCACCGGCCACTCGTAGGTGCACACAGCCGGGGCCCGGGGCTGGGCTGTCCCGAGCGCAGAAGGGCCGCGCGCGCCGTGGTCAGCAGCCTGTGTGCCCCAGTCTCCCTCTGCCCCCGTACCACGTCCCACCCACTTGTCCACCATCCAGCTTGCCTGGGAGGGTGGAGGACCAGGCGGGCCCAGGATGGTTCGGGGCCTGGACCTGCCTTCTCAGGCCTGGCAGGCGGGTTAAGACTCTGGCTGTGTGTGCTTAGCACTTAACCGCTCCTCCAGGGTGGCTGCCGGTCCCTAAGGGGGGTGATGATGGTGTGATAACAGTCCCCGGCGGGGACCACCAGGAGGGTTTAAAGCACAGAGAACGGGCTTGGCCCTGGCAGGGCTGGGTGAGGGCTGTCGGTCGAGGCCACCTTGGTGAGAGCTGTTTTCTCCTGCGGGTTCTGTCTGCAGCTAGAGGTGCACGCACGGGTCAGCGAGGCTGGCCTGCGGTGGCTGCCCCGGAGCGGGGGTGGGGGGGTCTCCTTGCCTCCTTTGAGCAGGGTGGTCTCCCCTGTAGGGCAGCTGGGCTCCTGATGGCCTCATAGACCCTTTGTCCTTGGCTCCCTGTGGCTCTGTCTGCACCGGATACCTTGGTGCCTTTCTGCCCGCTGGTGGACACCCTCGGGCTTGTCCTGAGTCAGGACGTGGGGAGGAGGTGGACCCAGCACCCAGCGGGCAGCAGGTGCAGTGGGGTGTGGAGGCAGCGTGTGTGGATGGAGAGGGAGAGCTGGGGCCCGGCGTCCTGCCGGTCGCCACGGCCGGAGGCTCCGGCTCTTTCTGGCTGTTCTACCCTCGGTTCTACTCGGAGCAGGGAGCCCAGGGGTTGGGGGCCTCAGCCCCGCAGGCACGTCCAGGAAGGAGCCCGGCAGGAGGCGGCCGGCCTCGGCCGGAGCCTTTCTGGCAAAGCAGGCCCGGCACCAGAGCAGGGACCGCGGCCGAGCCTCTCCCTCTGCGGGACAGCGGGCTCAGCCGCGGGCCCCACGGCAGCTGGTCCAGCTGGTCCAGGCTTTGCTCCACTGAGGCCGACGCTGGGAAGCAGAGCTGGCCGGCGAGCTGAGGGTGGGCACTGCTGCTTCCGCAGGGACCCAGCTGGGCGCTGTGCCGTCCCCTCCCTCTGGTCCTGGGCCCGTGTGGCTGGGGTGGCCCTTAGCCCTCCTCGTTCGGACCTCCTCCCGGAGCCCACCTCAGCCCCGCCCCGTGTCTGAGACTGACTGACCCTTGGCGCGGGGGGGAGAGCAGACGCAGCCCTGCTCATGGTGGGAACGCGCTGCCCGCCATTCGGGGGCCCTGCGGCCCCGCCCGCACACCGGCTGGGAAGAGGTTTCGAGTCGGTGGGGGCCAGGGAGAGGCTGGAGGGTAAGCCTCTCTCCACGTCAGATCTCAGGCGCACTGGAGCCTGTGGGCGAGGGGCTGGCACCGCCCCAGAGCGCAGCCTCCCAGCCCGTCCCGGGAGGAGGGGCCGAGCGAGCTCCCATCCCCCCTTCCTCTCGCCCGTATCGAGGACCCACGGCACGATGGCCACCTGAGCCGGTGGCAGGGGCAGCACTTCTCCGAGTGGACACACTGGGGGCTTTGGGAGCTCGTGCACGAGGGTGCTCGGAGCAGGCCTGCCCCTCCGCCCCCTGCTGCCCGGACTCAGTGTGTCCCAGGAGTCCTTTTCCTTTTTCTGTCCCTCGCTCCTGGCTTGGCTGGAGCCCACAGCCTTGACCTTGTTGGCGTGCACCCACCTGGGAGCCCCTGCAGGCATCCAGGCTGGAGTAGGCCCCCCTCCCTCGTTCCTGCCCCCCATTTCCCACGTCCCTCCAGCCACACCCTCATCCATGTCTTTCTGCTCCAGCCTCAGGCCCCTGGACATCGAGTTCATGAAGCGCCTGAGCAAAGTGGTCAACATCGTCCCGGTCATCGCCAAGGCTGACACGCTGACCCTGGAGGAGAGGGTTTACTTCAAACAGCGGGTAGGGCTCCATCTCTGCCCAGCTCCCTGGCTCCATCTCTGCCCAGCTCCCTGGCTCCATCTCTGCCCAGCTCCCTGGCCCCCTGCCCCTCTGTGGGAGCGAGGCGGGTGAGGGCCAGTGAGACAAAACACGCCAGGTTTTTATTAGATGGAAGAGATGGTCCGAAAGGGACGGGCTCCGCCAGGGGACAGCTGGCCGCTTTCTCCTCTGCCACTGTCCCGCTTTGGGCTGCTGTCCGAGCAGGAGGGTGAGCCCTGGGCCGCTTCTTCCTAACAGGGCCGCATGTCAGAACCACCTGGGGAACTTGAAAAAGCCAGGTGCCTGGGCCCCCGCAGAGCCTCCGCCTCAGTGGGCGTGAGCAAGGAGACCCCTCGGCCTAATCCCCAAAGCTCCGCCCTACCCACCCGCCCCCACCCCCCACCCCACCAAACCGCTCACAGCCCAGGTGCCAGGGATTTTCCCAGCATGCTCAGGGGAGGACGGTGCCCTGGTAATGGGTGTGTCTGGAGGGAAAAGGAACGAGAGAGCTCCCAAAGCTGCACACAGGCATTTGCGCTCAGGGCAGAAGTGACAGTTGTTCACCGGGATGTTAGCACTGAACGTCATCCATATGGGTAGCTGTCGCTGCAAAGGGTGGTGACGGTTTAACACAAGCAGGTGCACCTGTGCAGGATGGTGAGCTGCAGTGAGAGGCTTTCCAGGTAGAGCTCAGGGAGGGGAGGATTCAGCAAGCCTGAGTGATTTTCTTTGGGGTGTGATGAGCTGGGGGACAAGGACAGGGAGATACCCGGGACAGAGACCCGGGTCCCTTGGGCGGCTGTGGTCTCTCCTGGCAGGCAGGTCTGCAGCTGCCCCTCCTCCACTCGGGAGGCACAAGAACTGGAGAGTAGCAGTGTCACCAGCCCCCCAGAGCCCACCCCTGATCCCGAGCCTGGGGCCACTCACTTCACAGAGTGGCATGAGCAGATCCCCCAAAGCTGGGTTTCTCCAGCTTTTGCTGCGTGGACGGTGCCCGCATCTCTCCCCTCTGGACCCCCAGATCACCGCAGACCTGCTGTCCAACGGCATCGACGTGTACCCCCAGAAGGAGTTTGACGAGGACTCAGAGGACCGGCTGGTGAACGAGAAATTCCGAGTGAGTGGACCGACCAGGATGCTGTTCCCAGAGGCCTCTCACTTCCTGCTAGAGGACATGGGTGGGGGTCTTCCCACCCCATCCAGGGTGTCCGGGGAAACGGGTGGGAAGGCCTTGAGCCATGAGAACGTTATTTTCTGGCCTAGGAGGAGTCGGTGCCAGTGTTCACATGCAACCTTCTCAGGCCAAGGGTCTTAGTGCTGGGGGCCTGGACTCCGGGCAGCTCCACCCAGGGGCCCAGGGAGTGGACTGGCCTTTGCACGCTCGCGTGACCAATGCTGCCTGCCCTTTCCCCAGGAAATGATCCCGTTTGCCGTGGTGGGCAGTGACCATGAGTACCAAGTGAACGGGAAGAGGGTCCTTGGAAGGAAAACCAAATGGGGCACCATTGAAGGTAATCGCTGAGCTGATGTCTGGGGCCTCCAGACAGGTCAGAATAAAAGCTGCTTCTGCTGACTGGGAGCTGCGTTCATCTATTGCGTTGCCCACCCAGCCACGGCGAGGGGTGCCATGGTTACCGCTCGGCTGGGGGGAAGTGAGGGGGCAAGTGGCTTGTCTGGGGCCCACAGCCGTTAGCTGACGGAGCTGCACTTCCACTCCCATCTCCCATGGGCGGGGAGATATCCAGGGAGGAAGGAGGTTTGTCGGGCACTGTCAAGTTCTAGGTCCTGGTGCTGGGGTTTCGCAGGCGTGCTGTGTGACCCTGGACAAATCACCCCGCCGCTCTGGGCCTAGGAAAGGGCTGGGCTATAGCTCTGTCCAGCTGAGAGCCAGGTGCCCTCCCCACTTCCCACCCCCAGAAGTTCCTGGGACCCCCGTCTTAGTGTTGTGGGGCTGCTCTGACAAACCAGCACAGTCTGGGTGGCTTAAAACAGAAGTTTATCCTCAGAGTTTGGGGGGCCCCAAGGGAGAATCTGTTCCCTGCCGCCCTCCTGGTGGCTGCCCGCTGTCCTTGGCATCCCTTGGCTTGTAGACGCATCACTGCAATCTCTGCTCTGTCTTCACACAGCCTTCCTCTGTGTGCCTGTGTTTTTCTTTCCCTCTTATAAGAACACTTGTCACTGGCCTTAGGGCCCACCCTAAATCCAGGATGACCCCCTCTTGAGATCCTTACTTTAGTTATACCTTCAAAGACTTTTTCCAAATAGGGTCCCATTCACAAGTGCCCAGGGTTGGGAGTTGGACGTTGTTTGGGGGACACAATCCAACCCACTAACAGTGGCCATGACCCTGGGTGGGGTGGACCTGGGCATTTCTTTACTCCCCCACCCCGTTCCGTTCTCCCTCTTTAGAACAGAGTAAAATAGGCCACTTTGCTCCTTGTTCACTTGGCTGAAAGGCCCAGCGTAGAGAAGGAAGCAGAAAACCCAGCAGTTGCTTTCAGCTCCAGCTGCTGCCACCCCAACCCATGCCCAGCTCACGACCTTGGGCATGTCTCTTCATCCCCCAGGGCCCCTGTTTTCACCATCCATAAAGTGGGTACCATGTGCCAAGAGTTTAATAAAATGAGAGAATGTCTCAGGGACCATTGGAGCTTTTGGGGCAGCAGATACTTTTAAGTAACTGATATAAGGAAAACTGATATAATGGAGCGCTCCCAGCCTGGCTTATTTTACCTGGATTACTTGTTAAGTTCCTTTACCTCCCTGACCCACCTGGGCCGTCTCAATGAGGCTTCACCCTGGGCTCATCCCGCCTTGGCCCCACCTCTTCCATTTCCTCTCTTCCTGAAATCTGGCTGTTTAGGAGCCTTTTTGTGAAGGTATGTTTTGGAGGGTGGAGAAGTTCGGGGGCCAGTGGGGGCGGGGGGGCTTCCCTGGTGGTCCAGTAGTTCTCTGCGCTTCCACTGCAGGGTGCTCGGGTTCGATCTCTGGTCGGGGAACCAAGATCCCGCACGCAGCCCCAAAAAATTAAAAAATTAAAAATAAAGAAAGGGCCAATGAGGACCTGGGAGGGGCAGGGAAGGGCAGCCCAGCAGCTGACAGGCCTCTGCTGCCCCCTGGCGGCCAGCTAGGGCCCTGCAGGCAGCCGGTAAAGGAAATTGTCAGGAAATGAGCGAGGCTGGTTTTCTGTGTCCCCCTCTCCTTCTCTGGCCGGGATACCACGCATTGAATGACCTGTGCGTTGTCGTGGTGCCACCAGCTCACGTTGAGCGTGGTGATGAGAAACAGCCCCATGGAACCTGTAAAGACAGTGGTGGGGTGGTGGTTCTCACATCCCAGCAGCCTTCATGAGGCCCTAGAGGGAATTTCTGCCCTATCTTAAAATAGTTGAACTTCCCCAGGGCCTGGTGGACTTTTTTTTTGATCTCTGGGACCTTGTGAATTGGGAGCTGGCCAGAGAGCTGGCCAGCTGGCCACTCTGTGCTGGTCCTCAGCCAGAGTTATTAAGTGCTTCTCATCCCCACCCCCACCAGTCCTAGTTCTTTGTTCTGCCTCTGACTTGGTGTACAGCAGCATCCTGAGGTACTTTACTCATCCTTGGAAGCCTCCTGAAATGTTTTAAGAGGTAGGCAGGTGTCATAAAGCACACAGTTAACTCTCTTGTTTAATCCTCTCTTGTCCCTGAGAGGTGGGTGGCATTATTTTTTTTTTTTTTTCTAAGTTGAATCAAGGTACTTATGCTTGCAGCAAATTTCAAATGAAGAGTGATATCTTCCCACCCAACTATTTTATTTATTTATTATTTTTTTAGATGTTGGGGGTAGGAGTTTATTAATTAATTTGTTTATTTTTGCTGTGTTGTGTCTTCGTTTCTGTGCGAGGGCTTTCTCTAGTTGTGGCAAGCAGGGGCCACTCTTCATTGCGGTGTGCGGGCCTCTCACCATCGCAGCCTCTCTTGTTGCGGAGCACAGGCTCCAGACGCGCAGGCTCAGTAGTTGTGGCTCACGGGCCTAGTTGCATTATTATCCCCATTTTACAGATGAGGAAACTGAGGGTCAGAGAGGCCAGAATAACTTACCTAAGCCAGGAAGCGGCAGAAACACACTCACTCCAGGTTCAGAGCTCTGTTCTTCCCACCAGCTCTCACTGCTTCTCCAAGTTAGATTAAAAGGCTGCGTCAGGGGCTTCCCTGGTGGCACAGTGGTTGAGAGTCCGCCTGCCGATAACAGGAGACACGGGTTTGTGCCCCAGTCCGGGAAGATCCCACATGGCCGCTGAGCCTGCACGTCCGGAGCCTGTGCTCTGCAGTGGGAGAGGCCACAGCAGTGAGAGGCCCGCGTACCGCAAAAAAAAAAAAAAAAAAGGGCTGCATGAGAGTCAGCCGGCAGAAGGTTCTAGTGTGGGCACAGCCCTGCAGGGGCGGGGGGTGGGGGAGAAAGGAGGGCAGGGGTGTGGAGGGCAGAGCCCAGGAAAGAGGCAAGTGAAATCCAATAGGAGCACTGGAGGCCCTGCCTGCCGCCTCATCAACCCTTTAAGCTTCAGAAAGGCCCTGCTGCTCTGAGATGGGGAAGCCTGGACCAGGGAGCCAGGCCTCACGGGCTGTGGAACCCGGGCAGATCTCTTTTTCTCTCTGAGCCCCATCTCCCTACAAGCACAGAAGAGGAATCTTAGTCGCTATCCCGTAGGGTGTGTGAAGGTCGGATTAAGTCCTCCGGGCTGGACGCCTCCACAGAATAGCAGAGAATAGCCTCTCCTTCTGCCTTCTCTGCCCACCTCCCTCAATCCAAGTGATGCCACTCACCACCCTTTAAAAGGTGTGCTAGCACCTGCTGACCACACAGCAGGCAGAGTGTTCCCGCGTAGTTCTGGACTGTGGCAGTAACTGCCACCAGCTTCAGCCCCAAGGCATTACCTGCATGCTCCAGGGTACCCGTGGGGACCTGGGGACCCCTCCCTGCCCTCTTCCCGCGTCCCCAGGGCTATCCGCTGCCCTGCAGCTTGTCGGTCTGGGAGGCTCCCACGTGTCCTCGTGTGCACCTTCCCCAGGCAGCGGACGGCTCAGTTTTGCTGGTTCAGTGTAAACAGTCACCCCCGGTGCCTGGTCTGTACACGGGTGTCCTTGTGTGTGTCCTGAGCACGTGGCAGAGAAGTCCCAGCCCTGATTCCTGCCTCATTCCGGTCCCAGCCCCTCTCTCATCTTCAGGTCTCCCCTGGGACATCCGCCCCCGTCCACCACCGCCCGCCCCCCCTCCCCCCCGGCATAGCAGCCGCCCCACCGCCACCGCCTTCTTAGCCTAGCGCTGTCCCCCGCGGCCGTCTTGGCCGGGTTACGGCGCCATCTCCCTGCTAGAGCAGAACCCTCCGGAGGGCAGGAGTCAAGGTGCCCACTGCTTGCCTGTGCGCCGTGGACCCCTCCTCCGCTTGCCTGCCCAGCATTGGGGGAAAGGGGCTTTGCCTGACGCTAAAGCCCCTTCTGTCTCTCCGCAGTCGAGAACACCACGCATTGTGAGTTTGCTTACCTGCGGGACCTCCTCATCAGGTGAGAGCCAGGCTGGTGCTGACAGCGCTGGAGGGGCCTCCATCAGGGCCAAGGGAGGGGTGGGACCGGGCGGAGGTCTTGAGCAGCAGCCGGCATGCCCCCCGCATCTGCCTGCCTTCCCGGGAGGGACCTCGGAGGCCCATTTTCTAAAACACCTTCTTGGAAATGAAGCAAGAAGTGAAATTCCTTTCTAATTCTACTTGGAAAGGGTTGAGTCTGCATCACCGCAGCCTGAGCCCATTAGATTCAGGGCCCCCGGAGGTCTCGTACGCTGGGCATGTGTTGGGGGGTCCCCAGCTCCCATCCCCGCGGCCTCTGACCTGGTGGAGGCCCCTTTTCAGTTTCCTTGAGCCCAGGCAAGGAGTAGCCCATCCTCCGCCCATTCACGAGGGTGCCAGGTGGGTGGGTCTGGGCCTGGGCAGGTGAACAGAGAAGGTAGGGGCTCCTGCCAGGGTACCAGGGGCTCCCAGCTTCTCAGCCAGCAGGATGGATGCTAGGGACAATGTCAATAGGAAGGACGGGACCATCTCTCATGGCCTCCAGGTTGGGGGGCTCTGGCTTCCAGGAGCAGCCCTGCGATGCTGGAAAGCCTAGCTGAGGAAGGACGCCCACCTTGGGCCCTGTTGACACGCCCTTTCCAAATCTCTCCTGCTGAGCTGCAGAGAAGGGAAGGTTGAACACAGGACTAGCGGGGTGCCAGCGCCCCCAACCCCGGCCGCCTGCCGCAAGCCGCTGCCCCTTACCTGCCAGCACACCTGGCTGCCGGCCTGGCTCTTCTAAACTGGAGCAAGGACACTCCAGCCCAGCGCACTGCCCGGGGGCCTCTGCACTCAGCCCCTGTCCCTGGACTGGCCACTGGGTTGACACAGAGAAAGGGGGACACGTTAGAACACATGGTCCCGAGAGCAGCTGGGGTTGCCCTGGAGACCCCACACACACACCCTTGCCCAGGCTTGGTCTATCTTGGTGGGGCTAAAGTGCCCCACTGGGGGACCCCCGGGGAGCCAAGCAGTGGGGATTGGTGGTGGGGAGGGCAGGCCGAGTGAGCAGGGCCAGCCTCCTGCCCTCGCCCGTGGCCCTCCTTGAGACCCACCCCCCCGGCCCCTCCCAGGACACACATGCAGAACATCAAGGATATCACCAGCACCATCCACTTCGAAGCCTATCGCGTGAAGCGTCTGCATGAGGGCAGCAGCGCTGTGGCCAATGGTGTCGAGGAGGCGGCGCCAGAAGCCCAGGAGATGTAGACACCGCCCGTCCCGGGACCCCGCCCCGAGTCTTTTCCGTCTCCCCCCA